TATATATATATATTACACATATTACATATATAATGCGTATAAATGTGAAATTCACGATCCATGTAAATTAGTTCCATGATCTACAGTTTTTATATTATCATATAATTTTCATACAATATTCCTAGAAAGGCGCCTAATCAAAACTAACGGCCGGAAAAAATAAATATTTAACATACAGAGTTACGAACGTGAATTTATGAATTGTAATGGTGATGCAAACATCTAACATGTAAATATTTTGATAGAAATTCTTTTATTTTTCTCGGTTCAATCAAAATCCAATAGATTTTTTCTATTAAATCTACAATTATGACAAAAATACATTGGTATATCTATCTATCCATCTATATTGTATATATTAATTAAAAAAAAAAATCAGAAGTGAGAGAAAGCGGAGGAAACTTTGGTGTCTAAATATGTGATCAAACGTATAATTTAATTAGTATATTAAAAGAAAATTGTATTTATAACTATGACGAATTATGGCGATTGACCGAATTATGGTGTATACGTTAAATTGTGTATATATATATATATATTAACATGTAGATAAAGAAAATTGGTGTCACCGTTAATAGTCACACCAAATTCTACGGGAACTTTCCATGTGTTAGTCTGTGGAAAAAAGTGCTCCGTTCTCGTATTTAACACTTTTTCTTTCTTTCCTTTTTTTTTTTGCCATATATTTTTTTTTATTTATCTACGTTTCTCGTGAAAATTCAGAGTAGTTAATGTATTTTTTTTTTTCAAATAGATCACTGTTATATATACTCACTTCGAGGGGGCAAAATGCAGATATGAAAGTATAATGGCTATTTTGCTAACTTTACAAAAGATAGGGGGTGATAGTATCTTGATTCGTTCGTCATTTCTAGTATCGAAATCACGTAAAAGGCATGAAGGGAAAAGGCTCCATTCCATAAAAGTAGATGCCAACTTACATAGCAACAGCATTACCATATAAAAGTCACACACAAAATATGGCAATAGTTATTACATTCTAGTATATTTGAACTTGAAATTGATGGGGATAATTATTTGAATTTATTTATAAATTTTTGTCGACCCAAATTTGAAACGCTAACTAAAGAGCAAATGTGTGTATACGTATCCATTTATTTTATAATGGGTCAAAGGAGTAATTAAAAGAAAGTTTATATATATATATATATATATATATATATATATTCAATTCGCAGTTAGGCAGGCTAGGTCATGAATAAAGAGAAGAGAAGTCAATTGGTCAATTTTCACGTGTCAAAAGCAATAGAGTGTGTCTAAGCCAAATAACATTGAAGTGAGAGTAAATTATATTTAAATTAGGCTAAAACTATATGATAGAGAGTCAAATATCAATTGCCGACCATTTTTTAGTTAGATTTTCATTCGTAATCATGTTTTGGATATTTATAGGCGGTTTATTTATTTTTTTTTATGTAGAAAAAGTTGGTTTAGAGTGGGAATAGGTGTTTCTGGAAATTCAGTGACATGGAAATGTTGACATTTATATGTTGTGTGTGAATGTATTTGGGGTTAGGGAAGCAATCGACCAATTAATTAATAAAATTGTATTATTAATCGGATTGAAAGGAAAGAAAAGTGTGTGTCAGTATCGTACGCCTGAATGGATTGAATGAGACATATAAACGCAAAGTAAATTAGGGTTTTAATTTAGAGATTTATTTAAATATATTTTTTATTTTAAATCAATAAAAGGAGGATGTGGAGGTGCGGGGAATCGAACCCCGTGCCTCTCGCATGCGAAGCGAGCGCTCTACCATATGAGCTACACCCCCTCTGCAGATGAATCAAACATATTTACTATGATGGAAAAGTTTCAAAGACCAAGAACTTGTGTGACGTAAAAAGTGACGTAAAAAGTCAAAACCTCACTTAGCGGCCCCGACGCAAACGCCAATCCAAAACCCTTTATATAAAAAAAGAACTTTCAACGAATACAAAGGGGCGCGAAAGATTCAAGCTTGGAGAATCCACAATGGATATATGCTTTTCTACTATTTTTTTTAGAATGAAACCAAACACCGAAAACACAAACCCACAAAACGGATATAAAAGTTCAAGACAATCAAGGTCTCAGTTTCCCCATCTTCTGCCATAGGGAACCCTCTGTTTTACTCCAAAGGTTCCGTTGCTCCTCTGCTGTGGCCGTTGCTGAGAAAGTGATCTCATTCGCTCTTCCTTCATGTTAGCAAACAGAGAGTCCAGTGTCTGTCTCTGCCCTCCTCCGCTCCCTTGCCTCCTCTCCATCTCCTCCCCTCTCTTCTCCTGCTTCTGCTTGCCATTCCCATTGTCATTATAATAACCCTAACCAAACATTACATAACTTCTATTATGTTATAACCAATCCCCACGCAATCCCCACGGAATATGGGTCATGATTTTTTTTCCAACCGCGGGAAGGAATCTATACGATTGATGGATCTCTTGGATTTCAGTTTCACAGCTCTTCTATCACTCCTCAGTTTCATTGTGTTTTCAATCTTAAGGTTAAAAAAAGAAGAAGCAAGTTTACCAAACTCCATACACTCTAATCCAAACTACCTCCACAAAACATCAACGAAATTTTGGTTGGGAAAAGCGGTTTTTTTGGGACAGCTAGGCACATCCAGACAACTCTAAAAGATATGTAGATCATTTTATTACTGGGTTTCTAGAATAGGCAAGACCAGTGGAAACTAGCATTGCTTCATGTGTTCTTCTAACATATGAATGAGAAAAAAGCAGCTAAGCAGAGATGACACATGCATGTGCATGTGCATGCGCATATGGACCTGAATATAGTTACCTTTGCAGTATCTGACCCGCGGGAGCCACAAACCTGCACAAAGGAGATGATTTGATCATCGCAGAACAAGAAAAAAGTCACAAAACAGACATAAAGAGCCCTGGAGACCCAAGTATCAGCTGAGAATCCAATCCCCACCCATCATAAACTTTCTAATATTGCCCTCTTCATAACAAAACCTGAATCTCACAATGGAAGGATTCAAGGCCGACTTGCTATGATATAACCTGAATCTATTACAAATATACAAGGATCTAAGGACAGAACCACACAACATATGGATAACAAAATCCATCCCCAAAAAACAAAGCTAACACTTAAATATCCTAGAGCCGCCTTGGAACATGGATGGCAATTGTATTTGTATCTGACACACGGATGATTGGATGAGCGCAGATGACAATTACTCCAATATGGCAGTAGCAGCAGAGAACCAGGGCATCTCTTGAAGATTTTCAAATAAGATATCATTGCAAATTCAATCATAGATGATGATCGGTCCCAATAAAGTGGTCTCTCGGGAAATTGCCACAGATTACGAGCAGAACACTTGAAAGATGACCCCATACCCCACAAGCAAGAATCGGACATGAATAAGCGATTGGGAAAGTCTGAATCTTCTAAACTATCCCACAAATGTTGCATCTAATGGTTAATCGTCACAACCTCAGATCAACAGACTCAAGCTACAATCTCCACAACACCGCAAGAAGACAAACGATTTCAATAATTAGGAGGCCAATCTACGAGGCACTAGGCAGTGAGAAGCAACAGAGGCCAGATAGAATGTTCTATATGACATTGTAATGCACCCACTTCACGTAACAAAGGACTGAAGGAGACAGCTTTGGCAAAGCATTATAAGTCACCAATCAGAGTACAGTTCCCACTCAACCAAAACTTTCTTGAATCGTCCGTCTTTGACTCAAATCTGCAAACTCATTATGTTCACTGAATCCTGACATCAACCACATGAGCTCAACTTAATGGATCAGGTTTATGCAGCCATCAAGCTGCTGACTATCTACCATCAAGGAAGTGAGGCATGGTAAGCCACGCTAATGAAACAGGATAACCAATACGGTTTTGCTTTCCACTGAACCATTCCACAATACGGAGCTTAGAGGATTGCATAATAATCATCCCAGATCACATATAGTACCCCAGGCTAGTAAATGAAGCACAGAATTATCCAGCATTCAAGACCTGGATTGATTTGCATTAGCCGTCCTGCCAGCATTTACAGGTCTACCACGCCATGGAAGAGCATTAGCAGCTTTACGAGCAGCGTTAAACGCAACAGGAAATTGATTTCCTTGGAAATTAGTTCTTCTTTTAGCAAACGCTCCCTGATAATTGTGAAATATGTCAGACTACAAAAAGCTGGGGAAGAAAAAAAGAACCAAAATGTAGATCAATAAAGGAGCTAAGACAGCAACATGAACTAAGAACAGCTGACCTGTCTAACAGCAGACCGTGACTCCATGTAGCGCCGCACTTTTAGGGCGTTATTATATCTCCCATTCACAGCACCATTAGAAGAATTCTGGCTTTTGTTCTGCTCAGAAAAGTTTATGTGCCAATTTTGAAGGATCAGTGATTGAAAATTTCTCAAAGACAGTAGACGTTAAGGCATTGAGAGGATAAGCTTCTTACCGGTGCTCTCCTCTGTTTCTTGCCTTTATTCACATTGCTCTTGGACATTTTGATAATCTCATCTAAAGCCATGTCGACTTTCTTCTCGGTGAGAGCAATGGCCTCATTAGTAAGCGGTTCAGTCGCCAT